TTGTTATAAGCTTGGTTTTTAAGCTTAACCCAAGCTTGGGTAACAAGCTTATAAGCTTAACCTTGGCTTGTTATAAGCTTGGTTTTTAAGCTTAACCCAAGCTGGGGTAACCAGCTTTCAATGTTTAAACTAGGCTTGTTATAAGCTTGGTTTTTAAGCTTAACCCAAGTTTGGGTAACCAGCTTATAAGCTTAACCTTGGCTTGTTATAAGCTTGGTTTTTAAGCTAAACCCAAGCTTTGGACTAGACTTGTTATAAGCTTGGTTTTTAAGCTTAACCCAAGCTTGGGTAACCAGCTTATAAGCTTAATCTAGGCTTGTTTTAAGCTACAAAGGTTTTCTTTTTTAGCATGTTATAAGCTTGGGTTTTAAGCTTAACCCAAGTTTGGGTAACCAGCTTATAAGCTTAACCTTGGCTTGTTATAAGCTTGGTTTTTAAGCTTAACCCAAGCTGGGGTAACCAGCTTTCAATGTTTAAACTAGGCTTGTTATAAGCTTGGTTTCTAAGCTTAAGCCAAGCTTGGGACTAGGCTTGTTTTTGAGCTTGGTTTTTAAGCTTAACCCAAGCTTGGGGTAACCAGCTTATAAGCTTAAACTAGGCTTGTTATAAGCTTGGATTTTAAGCTTCGCCAAGCTTGGGTAACCAGCTTATAATGATTAAACTAGGCTTGTTATAAGCTTGGTTTTTAAGCTTAACCCAAGCTTGGGTAAATTGGCTTATAACCTTAAACTAGGTTTGTTTTAAGCTTCAATGTTTACACTTTTTCAACTTGTAGTAAGCTTAGTTTTTAAGCTTAACCCAAGCTTGGGTAAACCAACTTATAAGCTTAAACTAGGTTTGTTTTAAGCTTCAAAGTTTACAATTTTTCAGCTTGTTATAAGCTTGGTTTTTAAGCTTAACCCAAGCTTGGGTAACCAGCATATAAGCTTAAACTAGGCGTTTTTTAAGCTACAAAGGTTTACTTTTTTAGCTTGTTATAAGCTTGGTTTTTAAGCTTACCCAAGCTTGGGTAACCAGCTTAAAAGCTTAAACTAGGCTTGTTTTAAGCTACAAAAG